CCCATGAAACAACTACTGGTTGGTGGGATAACGGAGATGAAAGCAGTTGTCAACAACTGTTTTGCAAGGTGCTGTGAGTTTAACTTACTGAGCAAAAGCGTTAATACTTCGAAGTTGCATTTAAAAAAAAAAACACACGGAGTGCATACAAATTTCAAAAACTAGTAGTGTTAAGACTGAGAGTCTTTCACTTTCTGTAGTGCCCTCTTGTGTCCAGATCTGGTAGTATGAACTTGCTCATTTTAGCATTAGTTGGTGAAGGGCTCACTCCCTTCAAAATACAGGCTTGCAAGAAAGTTCAGAGGGCTTTTGGGTCCCTTCTCACTTACCTTTCTCCTGAAGCCCTGGTGCTAGGGAAGGGGAATCCTGGTCTGGTCTCTTTCCTATATTCTTATCCAGAGTCTACAAAAGGTGATTTAATCTGTGTATTTTGTATTCCAACAGATTAAGAACAGTTATGTTGTTTATGTCTTAATTGAGGGAAGGGTCTGTTTTAGCATAGCTCTTAAACTAGGCTGCTGGTGGTTGTTTAAATAGAATGCTCAGATGAATGCTGAAGGAAGGAGTATTAGGGAAGGGAACAGTGGCAACTTCAGCTGGATCTTACCTGATTTCAGTTGCCTCCTCAAAGCTGAGGAAATTCTGCACAGGGAAGGACAAAGAGAAAGAAAGATATGCAGATCGAAGATGAATGTGACTAGTTAGGCTTGCTTCTTTTTCTGATAAGTGTTTATGGCCAAAACCCCATAAAAGGATGTGGATATCTAGAACTTGATCATATTTCATGGTTTTTGGATATAGGCATGGATACTCAAGCCGATAGAATTAGTACTTGCTTGAGCTTTACAGCAAACAACTGTGCTTATATTCACTTTTCATTTTACAGAGTAATTTTTTTGGTGTTTTGTTCCTCAGGAATTCTTTGTGTTGCTGACCAGTGTCATGGACTTAAGGAGCTGGCTTTGAACTACTACATATTAAGTGATGAACTGCTGCTGGCTCTTTCAAGTGAAAAACATGTTGATCTTGAACACCTTCGCATAGACGTTGTGAGTGAAAATCCCGGACAAGTTGAATTTCACACTATTAAAAAGCAAAGCTGGGATGCTCTTGTTAAACACTCCCCCAAAGTCAACATTGTGATGTATTTCTTCTTATATGAAGAAGAATTTGATACTTTCTTCAGAGAGGAAATCCCTGTTACACACCTTTACTTTGGTCGTGCAGTAAGCAAAGCAATGTTAGGTCGTATCGGCATGAATTGCCCAAGGTTAATTGAGTTGGTTGTGTGTGCTAATGGACTTCAACCGTTGGATGACGAACTTATTCGGATCGCAGAGCGCTGTAAGAACTTAACAGCAATGGGACTTGGTGAATGTGAAGTAACTTGCAGAGGTTTTATTGAATTTGTAAAGATGTGTGGAGGCAGGCTTACCCAGCTTTCTATAATGGAGGAGGTACTGATTCCAGATAATGATTATAGCTTAGATCGACTTCATTTAGAAGTCTCCAAACACCTTGGAAGAATGTGGTTTCCTGATATGATGCCAACGTGGTAAATTCTCTACATTTGTGGATAAAATGGTAGAATCAAGGTGTTGCTTTCTATGCAAATAAAGAATTTAAAAATGAAATCTGAAAACTTCGTTTCCAGATTTGAGTTTTTCTACCTTGAGAACCTCTAGTATAACAGCAGAACATTCTAGAATGTTAATGGCATATTGAAATAGAAAATAGATTGTGTACTTAACACTTCTGAAAGTATGTCTGTGGTTTACAGGTGCTTCAAACTTCAGTGAACTTGGGCTTCTCTGAGCTTCAGTTTAAATGTTCCATTCACATTAAAGATTCTTTTTTTCATGTCTGTGTTTACTCTTTCCGATGTAGTGAGAAGAGGACTAGAGAACCTCTTTTCCTTTAGCAAATCTAACTTTATAGGAAGCTAGATACAACTTGGAGTTCCAGAAAACCGTATTCTTTGTTGTGATGTTTTATGCAGCTATTTTTCAAAATATTAATGTTATAAAAGCTAGTACATTAATATACTTACGCTAGCCCAGGTTACTGAAATATAATCTAGCTTAAACTCATGCCACTATATTAAAGTGTTCTGGTAAGTGAGCTTATGCTTACAAAAAGCATTGCAGTTTAAATTGCACTTTAAATAGTTTTGTCAGATTAGCTAAACTGTATAGACTGCATTGTACAGTATGTTGTTTTTCTGTCTTATGCATTAAATGGATGGGAAAAAGACCTTGTTAAAATTAATGAGTTTAGAAGTTTGGTTCTATATTGATTGCTTGGGTGAATGACAAAGTACTTTGGAAACTGCCAAAGTATAAGGAATGGCTTCTGGGTTTGAGAGAGTTAAAGTCTTTGATTACAGAGATTTGATGTCTGAATGCTGTTCCATGCTTTCATTATTAAGAGGTAAGAAGGATCTCTTAAATGTGGCTAGTGAGAAGGAAGGATCAGATGGAATACAGTTGTCTTCAATCACTTTCTGTCTGGAAGCAAGGGTTTAGAGCACTTTAAAAAAAAAAAAAAAAGATTATTTGCCAGTTAGAGGCCAAAATGGCCTATAGTAATCTTGCCTGTATCTGGCAGAGCTGTGCTGTAAGCCCCTATTTCTAGAGTAAGGATTTCTGGAGGTGATCCTGAAACTTTTAATTCAGGATTGTTTAATACTTGTTGCTATTAATTGGCTTTTGAGGAAGAAGGTTTCATTTTATTTCTTTGTTTTCTTTAAAGGGGAAAGGAATGGTGAGTTGATGTGAATTAGAATATGTATTTTTGTGTTGACATTTTGCAGACTGTAAACTGAAATGCATTGTATACAAATTTTGCTGTAATTATTTTCATGCTGTAGTTGTTGTCTTCCTATTTTTAATGAGAAGTCTACATTTGATTTGCCACATCAGATAAAATGTCAGTTTCTTCCACACTTACACTTCTTCACTGCAAAAATAACAGCTAAAGGCTTAAACCGCCATTGTCTTGGACAGACTTGTTTCCAGTTGCAAGCTAAAGGATTTAAGATAACATATAATGCCTGTCTGAATCAGTAATGCATTATTGCCTCTTGCACAGTTAAGGAGCATCTGACTGGTTGCTAGCACCTGTTACCCAAGCACTTGCTTCCATAATCAAGGGGCTTATAATTGTCTTTTAAACAAAAGACTGAAATATTTCTGAACAGTATTTGGTTTAAGATGTGTGGTTTGCTTTAAATGTAAGCATAATAAAGTGATCTAATATGTGCACTGCTATTAGACTCTTATCTATCTGTTGCACTGCATCCTCCTGTTAGGCAGGGTTCTGTCCTGTTAGAAACTGTATACTTGACAAACCTGGGGAGAGGCCGTAGAAGCGTTTAACTCTTGGATTATAGCGAATTAGTCCTTGTCATCTCATGTTCATGCCTCAAACTTGAGGATTTTTGACATGCTGAAACTGTAAAATGGATTGTGGACAAATCTTGTAGATGGTTGGTAGAGTTCTAAAGTCCTTCATGTCTCTGTAGCCAACATAACGGCATTAATGAAGTATCAAACACTAGTGGCTATATACAGAACTATAGTTCAGGAGGAAACTGTGAAAAGGCTTCTTTGAGTATCGTCCCTTTCTCTGTCCCTCTTACTAAAGCAGCTTTTCTGTGAAGCCGCGAAGGTTAGCTTGCTCCAGCTCCAAGTTTCTAGAAAAATGGGCCTGCATTTATTAATGTTGTGAACTCTGATGATTTTTTTTGTGCATTTGCTGTGCTAACTAATCTTAACAAGCAAGACCAATTGATACTTGAGTTTATAAACCAATGCCAACAAAATTGATAACGTTAGTCTCAATGTGAAATATTGATTCTTCACTGGTAGTGTGGGAAGCTAATTTTAATTGAAAGGTAACTTCTCACATGTTAATGTTGAATTTTATAGTTGTAGTGTTAGATTTGTTTAGTGTCATGTGTTGGTGCTAAGGTATATGCATTGTGCTTTGAGGAGTGTCAAAACACTGCCCTGTGTAAAGCAACATTAGTTCTTCTTTTCCTTCTTTAGTAGGTGATCCCGAAAGACTGCAGTGGAGGTATTGCACTTGGCAAGAGCCTGCAGATAGCTGCCTGCTGCCTTTACTTCCTACTCCCCCAAGAGCAGCCTGTACTTCAGAGCTCTGCCTTGTACTAGCTAAGGCAAGTTTTGCCTATTTTATTGGCTTTTCCTAGTTTTGCTGCCCTGCAAAGGCTTTCTTAAAACCCCATCTCTAAAGTGTATAATGCAGTGATTCAGTTTGTTAGAGTAACTAAAACCCTCAAAATGAAGTACAGAATTTACACCTGATAGGTTAAAGAGATTTGTAGTGTAAGACTGAAAAGTCCAGGTTACAGTCAGAAGCTAGCAGTAGTGCACCTTTTCTGCCAAGTGAGGGAGTGAGCTAGTTTTCATGTTCGCTGACTTTTCAGACGCCTTGAGAAAGCTTATAATTAGTCATTGCTAATTTCCTGATTCTCTTGTAAATGCAAATTCCAACAAAAACTCGAATCTTTTTTTTCCTTGTGTGGAGTCCCTTTTGCCATCCAGTAGAGACACTGGTGGTTCTGGCATGACAACTCCCAACAGCCTCTCTTATGCCTTGTGAAGTGTTTCAATAAATAACCTTCTACTCTTCCTCAGTTCAGGTGCCTTCAAAATCTAAAGTAATCTTGTTTGCCAGGGTGCAGTAAAGTTCGTCAAGTAGCCCAAGATACAATGTTCGCAACAATTACAGGTACTTCAAAAAACAGTACCTAACCGGTATCTGGAGTGTATATTAATGTTAGCACCTTGCAATATTATGTAAGGCCCAAAGTACTGAATCAGTAGTAACGTAAACTTGTGCATATTGTATAACTTTTTTTATTTCTGTAGAATACACTTTTCCCTTCCTTCACTGAGAGGGGCTGTCCATGTGACAAGGAAAAACAACTTTTGGATGCTGAGATGAATTTATTTGGAATTTACTACATTTCCATTTCACACTTTTTGCCCTTTCCCCCTTTCGAGATTGCTAGTAGGATCTGAGTGATCGCAGTTCTCAATGTGAACGTGAGATGTGATCCCGGGAAATACTCTTTGCATTGGCAACATTTTCCCAAGGATTTGTCCCTTAGAAATTCTACCGTTGTATCTGATGGGATGGATGCAGATTAGTTTTACACAGAAGCCTGGTGAAAACAAGAGGAGGGAAAACATCAGATGACTGATGAAGCATTTGTTCTTCTGTACTAACTCTATTTCAGAAATACTAACATTTTCTGTCTTGTCCTTTCCACTGAGAAAGCAATAGTGGAAATACCAAAATAGCAAAGACACTGCGGTCATAAAAAAAAGCGTGGTTGGAGTTGTTGGCTTGGTGGAAGAGGGAGGATGGGAGGCAGGGAGAAGGTGGGGATTCCTGCTTTAGTAAAGAGAAGAGCTTCAAGACATTCTACAGAACTCAATTATTTTGCATTCTAACTTCTAGCAAGAAGTTCTGCATGTAAATGGATAGAAGATGCAGTGTTTCAAAACACGTACCTTGCTTACCTTGCAGCTAGCCAAGTAGTTAATACATCCTATATTACCTCAGGACAAAGAAATATTAAATTAAAAATGGCTACTTACCTGATCCCCTGAGTTGGACTCCATCATCAATGGCATTTCCGTTGTGGAAGAATTTAATGGGTCCGGAGAGCTCGCCAGAAAAGGGAGCATACACGGTTGCTCCATCAGCACAGATGACATCCACACCCGTGTGCTTTCCTTTACCGTTGCGTCTGAAAACAGATACATAATTAGAGAAGTCTCTTGTCAGGCCTAACATTGTCTAGAGATAGATGAGATAGCACGCTGCAAGATCTGGAAATGGGTTGTTTGGACTGAGATGGCATTGACATAGTTGACTGGCTGAAGAATCTATAAAAGTGTTTTGGTGTAGATGATGTAATACCATGTAGGGTTGATGATCTGTTAGAGTTGCAGTTTTGCAAATTGGAGAGAAAAAAAAAAAGCCTTTCTTCCAAGCCTTTAAATAGAACTGTAGAGTCACAGAAATGTTGGTTGGCAGGTATCTGTGGAGGACATCAAGTCTAACCTTCCACTTGACTGTTCCCAACACCAGCTCAGGTCTGGCACGGCTTAGTCTGAGTCATAAAAAAACCTCCAAGCACGGAGGTTTTGTGAACAATGGGGGCAACTTGTTCTGGTGCTGCATTACCCCTGTAGTGAAAATGCCTCATGTCCAACCTAAACCTTCAAAGCTGTAATTCTTAAATGGCTTAAATAGAGTTCAACTCTATTTCAGTGGAGCAGCAACAAACCCCCACGTGTTCCACTTGTAGTACCTTGGAGCTCCGTAGTATCCGCAGCCATACCGATCGCAGCCTCTTATCTCGTTTGTAGGATTCCCGGAGCACACTGTTGCCCAGCGTGTGTCTTGTTGTGGGAATGGAGGAGAAACTTTGAAATACAAAACCACAGCAGGTCAAAGTTAACTTTCGGGTCCTGTTTGAAGTGTTGCATGTTTGTAACTACTATGTTTTAGTTAGGTGGGAACATACTGGAATTACATCCCACGCATGTAGTTGGGTGTCTTCTCCACAAAATTTGTCATCCTTTAGGAAATGTAAATAGAATGTAGACCTAAGGCTGGATTGTAATGTTTCTAGATTAGGGTTATCTCATGTAAGGAACATGCTTTAAAGACAAAAATTCAAAAAGAGTATCACTGTTCCTAGAGTGTAATCTGAGGGATAGGAAAAGACTCAGTTTTGTTTCTTATTCTATGCCCAGGCTGCTGCGACTGGGCTCTTCAAGTCCTCTTCTCCATTACTATCGATGTAGTATTTGTATTTGCAAAGAATCGTCCCAAAGTCTGCTAAGATGCAATACTGAAAACATTGCTAGTAGTTAAAAGGGTACAAACAGAAGAGATGTCTGACTCAGTTTATTGCTGAGACTTGATGCTGCTGCTGTGTCATGGGGGGCAGGAAATACAATTTGATAAGCTGATACATTCTCCTTCCTGTAACACTGTCTACAGTCCTGTTACGCTGTATTTATATTGCATATTTTCTTTCTTTCAGATGTTGCTGTCAGAACCTAAGACAGAGGGGACTGTTGCTATTTGATATTGTCCTTATTTGAAATTAATTAATAACTTAATTTTCGTACATTATACTACTTATTCTGGGGTTGGCATATTTTGTTGGGTTTTTGTTTTGTTTTGTTTTTTTACCAGGCGTAAGTAGAGGAGTAGGATCGGAGTGGTCGCAGTTCTCAACGTGAATGTGAGAGATAATGCCAGGAAATACTCTTTGCATTGGCAGCATTCTCCCGAGTTGTTGCCCTCTATGGATTTGGCCGTGGTATCTGATGGGGTGAATACAGACAAGCTTTACACAGTAACCTGGAAGAGACGGGAGAGGAAGCGAGGTCAGGAAACATCAGTTGCATCTGTTCTCGGGGTGAGCAAGAACCTTTCTGTGCTAGCCTCTTATTGGACACTGTAGTGATGAAGCAGAAAGCTAGTCAAGGTACCAACAATCCTGAAATCAAAATTACTTGGATTGCTATGGAGAAGAGGAAAAGAGGGAGTTGGAAAATAGGGACAGGAAGACATCCTCTCAGCAAAATTGAGGGCATATTTCTGATACTTTATTTTTACTGTTTCCTTTTTTTTTTTTTTTATTTGGGGTGGTGGTTGTTTTTCTGCTACCTGTTTTTCAACTCCCTTCCTCCATTCTCTCCAAGAAAAGCATAGGAAAAGGACTACATCCTGCTGGTGCTGACTTCCGATATTTCTTAGCAGCAGTCTAGTTGTGCTTCAGTGTAGGAACTAGAGAGGGGGCAAGATTAATCGACGCTTTGCTTGAACTGAAGAGCCACAGAAATCTTAAGTAAATAAAATGATTACTTGCTCATGCCTCACAACCTATCTGCTGTTATTACTTGCCTGATCCCCTGATTTGGACTCCATCATCAATGGCATTTCCATTATGAAAAAATCGAATGGGTCCGGAGAGCTGGCCGCTGAAAGGAGCGTACACCGTCGCTCCATCATTTTTTTTGACATCCACGCCCGTGTGCTTTCCGTGCTTTCCGTGCTTTCCATGCTTTCCTTTACCACCGTGCCTGAAAACATGCATATGTAATTAGAGAAGTCTGTCAGGCTTAACATTATGTATAGATAGATCAGTTAACACGGTACGGTATCTGAACCTTGTCTAACCACATTTTTGCATCTGCAATGAAATGGGAAAGAAACCTTTTATTATTGCAAAATGTTCGTATTACTCTGACCTTCTTTAAAAGGGGATGGGATTTCAAATTTCAAGCGCGTTTTTAATTTTCCCAAGTTCATGGGATATTTCAAGCTGTTACAGAAAAGTACCCCTGTTCTACCCCAAAATACATCTGTGCCGGTGTAAAATAGAATCTTATGTTTGGCATTTTCTCATTTAGAAATTTGGAAGTTGCATGATGAGGATGGACACTTCTTATAGCGCCTGGGGTGATGAGGATGGGCACTTCTTACAGCGCCTGGGGAGAGGAGACGACAGGAAAACGCAGGGAAGGCAGGAGTCATTCTACGTATTTTTCAGGGAAATATAACCTGTTCTGTTATGAGGTGCCTACTTAAAGACAACAATGCTGGCAGACCTTTAGCTTGTGTAAATTAATCTACTTAGCTTCCTGTAGGCTGTTGCTGAATGTTAGTTAAATAGCTGGTCTATAAGCAACAAGAATAAATGAGACAAATCCTTGAAATACTTTCCGTTCCCTTTACTCTGGCTGCTAATTCGTGTAACGGTCTCGCTTCTTCACCCATGCATCAGTTAGTAGCGGTGGTATTACTGCACTTCTGCAAGATTGCCAAGTAATGTCCCAAAAACGACTAAGAGGTCCCGCAGACAACAGTCTTCTCTCATTCTAAGTGTCAACTGGTTAAACTCCACTTTTTCCTCCCGTGTGAACATTTCATTTAGGAAAGCAACAGCAAACCCCACTGCGCCAGGTTCCCGATGCCCCGCTGCGGTACCTGTCAGCGCCGAAATAGCCGCAGCCGTATCTATCGCAGCCCCGGATTTTGTTGATGGCATTGCCGCTGCAGATCTGTGCCCAGTGTCTGTGCTGTTGTTGGGGCGGGTACGCGTCCAACTGTTTGGCGAAAACTTCACGTGCAAAAGAGGAAAATAGGGAAAATTCAAACTTCTGAGTACGGTACAACAGAACATGTTAAGGTGCAGAATAGGGTGTTTAAAGTGGAAGACGAGCTCAGGGGAGTTTATAATTTCAGAAACTGTAGGTAAAAGAACATTGTACAACCTGCTATATAGATTTGATCCCTTTTTCTTGAGGTCTTAAGGTACGTACACTAAAAACAAAGCAAAGCTATAGAGAAATATTTTTAATATAAGTTTGTGAAATAAGTCAAACTAGTTTCACTTTCTTCATGAAACCTCTAAACACTTCAATATATGACTAAATGCACACCTAATTCCGTATTTTATAATAGTCATATCTGTGCACATTACCATAATTCTTCATAAAACTAGATTGAAAAAAACTTTGCATTATTTATGTTTGAGTGAATTTCAATAATTTGTTAGCGTCTGCCTAAAACCCGTCAAGACCAACTGCAATATAGCATCGACTCACCAGTGGACACCAGGCTGACCAGAGCGACCAGACTGAGAGCTGGCATTTTGTGGCTGTTTCACCGGTGTTCTTTGATCGAATCAAAGACGTTGAGCAGTAGCTGCCTGGGGTATTTATGTGTTTTCGGAAGCCCAAGTCCGTTGTCTTGGCCAATCAGTCTTGAGCCAAGTATTACAGCTCCGGGCGGATGGTGTTGCCATATTAGGCACTGAGGATGTCTACAAATTCTAACAGTTGTTAGAGCTGGTTGGGAAAGACTGATAAAATAATTGGTCTCTTAGCACACAGTAGCAGATGGAAATGAACAATCCCACATTTCAGGAAGCTCTGGTTGAACTGTTTCTTAATACCTTTTCTCCCCCCCTCCTGAAGCAAGGGCACTCTTAGGCCGAAAATGGTAGGAACCAAGAATACAGTCCAGAGGACTGAGTTGGAGGGGAAAAATGGGCAAACCTCTGTGGTGGATGTAACCAGGATCCAGCACCTCCTCCCCAGGTGTATGTGCCCGTTAGAGCTTTCTAACAGAGTGACGGAGAATGCATGAAGCTGTAATGTTTGGTGTAGCGTGAGTATTCACTTAGGCTAAGAAATACAGGTGCTTTTGCATGGAAACACATCTTTTTTTTTCCTGTTCAGCTGAAATTATCACCTAGCCTGGGCTTAAATCCATGAAGTCTTTTCACTGAAACCCTAGTTTTTGACAACTAAATTCTTATTAAAGCATCTTCAAGCTCTGAAACAAACAGTTGCAAACCCAAGTTGCATGGCATAACTGACATGGAGCTAAAAAATTCTAGGTTTTAAAATGAGTTGTTTAGTATCTGCTTGATTTCAGCTTTTGTACTGTTAAGCAGGCTCCTTAGTGTCTCTTTTAATCCTTCAGTTTGATTTTTCTGCACTACTTACAGAAAGCATTCGATTTTCTTTACAGACATGTCTGTCTTAATACAAAATTTGAATGAGTCATGGCGCTTTCACATACGCTATCTGATATTCCAAGTCACAGAAACCTCTGGAAGTCCTGCAGGTTTTATTCACAGGAGAAACAGATGTCTCCCTGCCCCGCTTCTAGTTTGCAAAGAGCATCTGTACGTTGTGTTTTCTGAAAATCTCCATGGAGCAAGCAGCTGGAGACAAATTTTTCACTTGTGGTTCCAAGCTTTTTTTACAGCCAGCATTTAAGCCCCAAGCAATCTTTTAGCCCTCCCTGGGGTTATTACAAGTGGCTTTGCTGATTTTATCCCTGCTGCTTTCTTCCGCATCCTGCCAGAAAGAACTGCTGGTTTTCACACTCGTAGCCACCAAACGAGTATTTATATAAATGTTGTGTCCCCTCAGTCTAGTTTTGATGAGGCTTTTGGTTGTAACTTGCTCAATATAACGGCGTCTAGGCTTACAAATGATACAAGGTGCTGGTAATAGCTCTCAGTGGGTATTCAGGATTTGGGGATGCTGCTTACCCCTGAACTGAAAGACGGGGTGTGTGGGTTTGTGTGACCCTTGCCAGAAACAGCCTTCGTCGCTAGAAGCTGGGAGAGCTTGTGTAATGTGCTTTCCAGGTTTATTCACCTTCATTTGGCACGAGCTCTCCGCAAACCCCCTCAGCTCTCCTTAGCAGAGAGAATCAGCAAGGGAGGCGGTATGGGTGGCATCTTTCAATTAAGATTTCATAGCATAGAGGTAGTAAAGTATTTCTGAGCTTGGCTAGCTTGATACTAGCTGCTGTAAGCTTTTTTCCCTACTGGAGACAAAACCACTGAAAAATAAAGACTTTATTTGGGTGGTGCCTGGCCGTTCCCAGTTGAGGGGTCTCCAGTGGGGTTTCTGCAATAATGATCTCTCTCAACCAGGTTTTATTTCTGATTTATTCCTGACTGCCAGTTTGCACTAGTAGATTTTTAAATATCTCATTATACAAATTTTACCTGGGGCAGACCTGCCTTGAAAAGCTAATGATTTTTATAGACTTTTGTGAACTCACATGCTCCTAATTTTACCAAGGAATGAATTGCAGCACCTCAATCCACTCTGCAGTGTCTTGTGAACGAAAGGCTGGGTGTAAAGCCAGCCAAGCTGGTAGGCACGAGGAGAAAAGTACAGCTGTGTTATAGGTGCACAGACACGGAAGAAGCTTTTCTCTGAGTCCTGTTCTGCAGTCTGGTATTTTGTAAAATGGCTCTAAGCTGCCCATTCTTTGCAATTTTTTCCATCTCATTTGTGTTACAGAGGTGACTCCAAATTGCTCGTAGCTGTGTACATTTTTTATATTTTCTCCATCAGAGATCTTAACAGCATTGTATCTTACTCTGTTTTTTCTAAAACATGTCAAAATGTCATTTGCTACAGTAATATATCTAATGCACTTCTGGTAAAGTATTCTTAATAAAACAGTTTTCAAGTGTATGATACTGCAGTTGAGATTTCTCAGTGTGTTCCCCATCTTTCCTGGGCGAGCTGGAAGGTGCAGACCTCTCACCTTGGGCACGAGGAAGCTCTGAACCGAAGTTGGTGGGATTCCTGTGTTGGGCAACGGAGATGCTAATGTAACAGTTGGCAGGTGCAGTTGTGAAAGACACGAACTGGCCGCTTAGCACACGCTAACAGAAGGATATGGAACAACCAGCCGGCATTGCACAGCCCCTGGGAGCTGCAGTTGCACCGTTTCCTTCCCCGCGGCGGGGAGCGGGCAAGGAGATGGAGAGGGGCCAGCGTGCAGCGCTGCGAGGAGCACACTGAGAGCAGGTGGGCTGGCTGGGGAAATGCTGACTTCTTTCTCCTGCGTGAACGGTGCGAGTTCCCTGTTTTGCCCCTTTTATGTCAGCAGTAACTTCCCTAGCTGTGTAAGTCCCTTCAAGGTCTTTTCATGGACTGAGCAAGAGCGCAGCGAGCACATGTGAGTGTTTGGGCTGGTATCAACAGGCAGTGAATGAGTTAAGCCTGATGCTGTCCAGGAGAAATCCCTATTTTGCTATTCAGCCTTTCCAAAGATACTGTGACTCTGCTGTGTATATTATGTAGTGTTCAGGAGGGTCCGCTGCCCACCAGGGCTTTTGGATAGATGGTACCTGCCATGCGCGTGTCCATAAACCTTGCAAACATTAGACTAGTCCCTCTTAACATATTAATTATCTTAACACCATCTCTTAATGAGCAAATGGTAAAATGATGGAATAAGGGGTTTGGAGGAAAAAAGCCAGAAAACTGAGAGACACACCTGGGCAATGGTAGTGGAGTCTTTGAGCAGAAACATCAGCAAAAGCCAGGGCCAAACCCTGAGCCGGGGCAAATCCAACCCCCCAGCCAAGGCCTGCGGTTTCCTCCCAGCTGTGCTGCCATCCTCCATTTGTTGCCCACAAGTCAGGGCTGGTTTCTCCATCGTTTCCTTTACACGTGTTTCAGCTCGGTGGGATTCAACCAACGTCCAAAAACTGATGATTTGGCCCATCAAGTCCTTCCTCTTCACAACCTCTGTGGGGCTGCGGCCCCAGTGAACCAGATAAATGAGCGCTGTGCATCTTATTTCTTGGTGATGTTACAGTATCATAACTGTATGTTTGCCAGGCTTGTTAGCAGGCAGTTGAAAAGGTAAATTCTCTTCCTAGCTATATTTTGCAGAACAATTGGCTTTGTCCTTCTTGGCGAGCCCGGTGTGTTCAGTGTGGGAACAAGTCAATGCTGAGCACTTGCCTCCCAGCTGATCTGCACACATTATGTTATTAAAGAACCTTAAAAGCTGTTTCTCTGGAAAATAAATAATATTCTTTGTGCTAATCATTAAAAACAAATTGCGATTTAAAAATCAACCGTAGAAGAATCTACTTGTGCAATTAGCAGCCCAGGCTTTCATGGTAAAAATCAAGCTGGCACAACGTAAAACAACTTGCACTCGCTATTTACTCAGGCTTCTGATAGCTTGACGAGGCTGAGATAAAAGGAATTTTGCCAGAATGATTAATTAAGCTTTGTGTTCGCTGCTTATATTGTAGTATCGTTGGAAAATCAGCAGGTCGCGCTAGCTGATCAGCCATGGTTGGGCATGTCATTTTAAGTAGATAGCAGGCTGTAGGAGATCTGAGTATGTTGCCTTTCTTCTTTGCTAAGTATGAGCTGAAGACGAAGCTGAAGTTGTGCTGGTGCACAGCTCTGATTGAAGACTCCACCTCGAATTTATTTTGCCTTTTTGATATACTTGCTAAGCCTGAGCTAGGCAGGTTTTAATGGGGAGGATGGAGGAACACAAAAGAAAATCTTTTTTGCTACTGATGTCCTATCCTGTGGGGAGGACAAAGCTCTGGCTGAATCCTCCAAATGTCCTTTAATGCTTGGGGAAATAGAAGGGAATAGTGCAGATTTGGGTTGCAGCCTCAGGCAGTTAGGACTTTCACAGTTTGGGACCCCAGCTCATCTCTCTGTCTGGGACCTTGTGGTACAAACTTACAAAATTAAAGGGATAGCAAGGAAAAGATCCCTGCAGAACTGCTGCAGAAAAAAAAGCAATTCTGCATGGCCTGAGTTTGCCAACTCTTTCCTGAGAAGCCAAGTTGCCTCGTTGCTTCCCCCAGCACCCTTTCCCCTCATCTTGAATATTTCTAAAGCTGTGTATTTTACCAGCCCTTTATTTCCTTCCTGGAGTCAGCTACAAATTGTACTTTCCCTTCTTCTACAGCCATTTTTTTTTTTACTAAACTGAAAAGATAAAGCTGGATTTACTTATACTGTTTGCCCCAACTGCTCTGTAACCTGAAATAGAAAGTGTTATTTAATTTTTCTTCCCTGCTGCTGGGTGACAGCCCCAGCTAAACCAGGAATTTTTAGCATTTGCCCTCTACCTCTCTCAGGCACCTGCCGGAGCACCCCGCATCCCTGCACCAAAGCACTGCACCTCCCTGCGCTGCTGGAAAAACTCAGATTAAATAATAGCTCCCTGAAAAGGTTTGTGAAACCCGTCTGTGGGGACAGACCAGAACAGTGCTGAGCTGTTGTCATTAATGTACAGGTGAAAATGTTACTTGTAGAGGAGCAAAGGTGGTGAGTTCGGAGCAGCTCCATCACAAGCCGGGGGGACCACGAATCCCTGGGAGTGGGTGCTGCTGCGTGGACTCTCTGGACTGCAGGAGGGCAGGATGCTGTGCCGAGGGCAGGGAGAAGGCAGGCTGGGGTCTCTCAGTGCTGTTTTGGCGTTCATGTTCCTCCCAGGGCCCTGATGATACCTGTGTGCTGTGCTTCAGAAAGGAGGTGATGGGATCTTCTGTCCCTATTAACAGGTTCCTGATGCATATGACAGCTGAGGGAGGAGGAAGGAGACAAGTGTGACCCAGGGAAGAGCTCACCTGTCTTTGCTGGGGGAAAAAAGTGTCGGCTCATGTTTTCTTTCCCATACAAGGACTAAAATCAAGTAAAAATGTTAATTTTGTGGTCGAGTGTATTAAGGCTGGAAGCTTGGTGCCCTGCTCAGTCAGCAGGGTCAGCTCAGTGTTTCGTTAGGTTTTGCATGGAGAAGTGGGGACCTGATTGGGACCTTCCCTTTTCAAATGTGAGAAGTTGATAACTGGGTTAAAAACTGGGATTTTAACCAAGTGAAACTTAGGTGGAAGTGTTTCTTTTCTGCAGGCAGCCAGCTTCATGACAAAAATAAAAAAAATTGGTCAAAACTGGAAAACCCTGGGGACTTCTGCTGAAATGTTTCTGCTTTCAGTATAAGGAAAAGGTTTTTTCACAGAAAACCCAGTTGTATTGACGCACCATCAATGCCTGGTTGCTATCTGCCTCTGCAGGTTTGGGCTGTGTGTTTATATGGACGTGCCGATGTTTCTTTCATAGCAAAGTTAAAGGACACAGCGGGTTCAGCACTTTGCACAGATGTAGCAAATATCTTTCTGCAGTTTCTTAGGAAAAACAAATCTGCTGTCAGGACATACGCAGCTCCCACTGAAGCAGCTTCCCTGCTTATCCGAGGCTGCAGTTGCGTTAGTAAATACGTGAGAGCCTGCAGCACTTGTCGAGCACTTTAGCCCTTGAGACTCTCAGTAGCACGTTGGTAGCCTTGGCCTGAAAAGCCCTGTCCTGTTAACAAGAGCTTGTTGTCCCGGGAAAGTCTTCAGCTGATTTACTAGTGGAAAGAAATGCCTCACTTGGACAAAAAGAAACCTGGGTGTGCCAAGGCAATCCTGAAGCAATCCCGAGTCTGGGGAAAAGGAATGAGCTACTTCATTAATGTTGTTTCATGTTTTTGGTCATGGGCCCCAGGAACGATTTGTGTTTCAGCTTTATACAATTTTTTTCCCCCAGCTGCATTAAAAAAGCAGAACCCAGCCCAAACTCTGTGACAGCACCAAAGAAATTCAAAGCAATTTGTAGTGAAGCAGCTCTTTAATAGTGTGATTTTTCATTTGCAAGCAAAGTGAAATTTCTGACTTATCAAAGAAATCTTTGTGTTTGGCTGCAAAGAGAGCAGAGAAGTCCAAGACGAGTGAGCTGCAGCATGGCTCGCTGCGGTGCTGCTGAGCATCGAGGATCCACCATCTCCCAGCCACTCGTCATTGCCCGCTGCTTCAGCCTTCATCTGCGAGTGCAGTGATGTGCAAGACACGGTAACAGCTTTAAAGCATGTGCTATACCTTACTCTGAGTCTGTTCATGTTCAGAGAACCACCAGCATTTTGTTCATGGACACTTTTTAGGTGGAACAACTGTTTGAGGCTCAGTGGCTTCTGCTGGAGTGACTACCTATGCCCAAGCAATTTAATGAATATACAAGTGGGGGGCTGAAGGCGCAGCCGCCCGTTTACAGGTTGGGAGTAGGATCTGTTAAGTCACAGTTCTGGATATGGACATGGGACGTAATTCCTCGGTAGACCCTTTGCATGGGCAGCAGGATGCCGATTTTCTCTCCCTTCTTGATGGGGCCGCGGTACTTGATGGGTTTGATGTAAAACATCTTAATGCAGAATCCTGTTAACAGGGGAGAGAGAAGAGGGGGAAACTGTTGCTCCTATGAAATAGTTTAAAAGCCTGGCAAAGTCATAACGTTCAGTAGCAAAATACGAATGACAATAAAATGATAAGAGATTCAGCAGCAGAAAAAGTTACAGAAAATGCTGTGACGCTGCTGTAGCATCAAGAAGAGAGAATAAGAAAAGAAATAAATTAACATGGAGGAGGGTGGGGAAGGGGATTAGGGTGGGTAAAATTGCATGAGCAAGTCAGAGGCTGTTCCTTTAATTATCCAAAATGTGCAAAGCTTCATCCTTTGACTTTTTTAATAGAGGTGAAATGCCGTAATACTTTCAATAAATTTTCCTGCATTAACAGAACCTGGATTTTAAAGTTACAGTTTTTGCTTGGATTCACGTACAAGCACACTGCAGTTCAGGTTGTGTTCATGATTTTTGGCTCAGTTTAAAGCTCTGTAAAGGAATCGGAGCATTTTGCAATCAAGCTTGGCAAGACGCACGCCTTTCAGCTCCGGTACCTGATCCTGAAAGCTGAACTCCGTTGTCGACGGCATTGCCGTTTCCATAGGGCCTGGCTTGTCTGTCGATCTTCCCCGTGAAGGGTGCGTACACCACCGAGCCGTCCTCGCACACCACGTCCACTCCCATGTGCTGCCTCCTTCCTCTGAAGAAGAAGAGCAAGGCGGGTTAGCCCGCGGTGGAGTGCCTTGCCGGCTAGAAACCCTCCTCTCGCCCATTTTTTCATGCTTATTTTTATTTTAAGAAAGTTTCAAGCACAGCCATCTCCCGTCATCCCAGCCCAGGACCTGGAGCGGTTGTATCCGCCGCAGCCCTGAGAGTCGCAGCCTCTGATTTTGTTTGCAGGTTGACTTGAGCAGATTTTTGCCCATTGTGCTGCAGCAGCTAGAAAAGAAGAAAAGAGAAGAACAGAAGATGAAACCCACAAACTAGAAAGGGGATTTCCCAGCCCGTGATGTTTAATCAATAGCAAGGCCCCTTTGGACTTTGCTGTAACGATGGATCAGGCTTCAGGGAACTAGGAAGTTGTTCATCTTTTAATGTAGGTTAATTTTAGGGATGCAATGAAACAGCGTTTTTTTGTTTTATGCTTTGTCAAATGACGTTTGAGGGTACTTAAAGGAGCGACTTCAAAGCAAAAATGCAGAACAAATAGATCTGGAGGGGACATCACGGAGTGACCCACTCCTCTCCCATTGCCCCGGGGCAGTTGTGCTGCATTCACATAGCAGACGTGGGGCTGGAGCTACGGGATGTGACCTGGAAGGTGACCTGAGCCACCTGGGATCTTGGAATCCTAAACTGTAACTGTAAAAAACAGGACTGAGAGAGACCCACCAGCTCCATTCCTATTCCCTAATGTGGGATCCAGTCAAAAATAAAAGCTGTCATCTAGCTTTTACTAATTGCATTTTCTATCTCCCAGTGTTTCTACATTACTGTTTCAAAGTAGCAGCCAGTAGGGTAACAGCCTCGTATTTTTTTATTCCAGACTCCAGCTACCATCACCCACAGCCAAACCCGTGCTGATCTCATGGCCCCAGTGACGTCTGAGAGAGGGGAGATGTTTATAGGGCGGCAGGGAGGAAAGGCAACCCCTGACTTGGTACCTTCTACAAGCCTCTAACAGCCCTGCTCCCCCCACCAAAACTACTAGGGTTTCCCAGGGGATGCTCTTGGGGCTCCCTATGGAGAACAGGGCTGGTCTAGCAAGAAGCAACGAGTTGAGGTTTATCCGCGTGTGTGAACAGCTCGGCAGGCACCGTCCCCGTTGGGCTCTGGGAGCGTAGGCAAACAGGGGCAGTGATGTGCTGGCACTGAAGGTCTGGTGCTAAAAGGGTGCAGGGACTCTCTAATGCCTTCCTTGAGCAAAACAGCCCTTTGTTCTAGGTCGTCTTCATTTATTTTAATGAACTGTGTATTCTTTGTGAAATCAAAGGTGATGACATTAAACACAGAAACAGCTCTGGGAACACTCTACGCTTAGCGGGCTGATCTTGAAGTAAAAGGTTTTTAAGAAAACGTGCATGCTGTTAGTAATTGATATGCCTCAGCTGATTCTTTCTTATTCAGTCAACATCATTACTCCAACAAAATTTTGCCACAACTCTTTACCATACTAGAAAGGATTTTTCCGTGGAGGTTTCTATGCAATGCGAGAGGGGTTATTTTCAAAAGCAAAAAATGGCAGAGAGCAAATCAGTTCCTAAATCCTTACAGATACACTTCATTAAAAAAAAAAAAAAGGAGAGAAAGAAAAAGAAGGCAGGTTACAATGAGCAATGTTTAACAAAATTCAGCTAACTCACCACTGGAGATCACAATTGCGAGGATGACTGCTGTGACTCTGTGCATTTTCACGTGCCTTGAGAGCTCTGCTTTCAAAGTGAAAGGTCTGAAATACTTTGCTTTCTATTTATACATCCCAACAGAGGCTGTATCCAAATTTTTCCAGCCAATCAGAAAATTTATGTGGCCTCGGTTCTTGTGCTTGCAGATTCAGGCCAGCAGCAAGAACTGGCAGCAGCCCTGGAGGTGTACCACCAGCCTGGCTAACTGGCGGTGCAGAGGCTCCAACCTATTTAGCAACAGCAGCTACGTGGTTTTGCTTGCTTTTGTTTACAATGAAACCATGAGTATTAAACCCAAATTTTAAGGACAATTTGTAACTATTTCTCTTCATTCCTGCCTGTTGCACAATCCTGAAGTTTAGCAAGATAATTTGGGTGGAGAAAGGGAAAAGAGTTCAAATGAGCTTAAAAAAATATCTGGGCAGATGGATACCTTGCCCTCCCACCATGGCTGTTGCTTCATGGAAGGAAGTTCAGCCAGGAGGACACAGCTCTGTGCCACGCATCACACCCAACCTCATGCTGGAAAAATCGGATCAGGCGACCTGTGAAGTGAGACCCTTGCACCCCATTTTTGTTAGCCGGCTTCATTAATGCGTCCCA